AGAAAGGAATCGTCAACATTAACCTTAACATGTACAGGTTAATTTCTCGACAAAAAATTAAAAATTGAATTACATGTTTAGGAACAAATACATGAGCATAAACTGCATCGCATGCATATGAGGTAGGGGCATATGAAAGGGCGTTACACGAAAAGAATGGAATAAATAAAAGAATCATTCTTGTCTTGCATTTTCATTGCTTTCATGCATCCATGCATTCTACTTGCTATGGGTCAAAAGGACTCATAAGGACAAAGCACTCGTAAGAGCTCAATAGCCAAGCATGAGTCGAAGCAGTGTCAAATGGTAACCCCAAGTTATTCTATGTGCCCACTAAGCAAAGACATATTAATAGTGGAATAGAATGGAATCAACCAAGTAAGCAAACCCATAAGCATGAAGAGGCCATCGTTCCCTGCTCAATTGAATGAAGGATGATCCAAGAAAATACTAAGACCAGGAATGACTTCCTAATTAAAGCAAGGAGTGGCTTCCGAAATAATACTCATTAATAAAGATTCAACAAATAACATCATCATGGGATGGGATCCCTCCACCAATGATGACAACAAAGATAAAATAGAAAAAGGAAAGCTTTGTAAATGTTGAAAAAGCTGAAGCATTTAGAAAAATAGCAGAAAAAGGCAAGCTTCAAACATGAAAGAGCCGAAACTAAACAAAAATAAAATTTAGAAAAAAAAAACCTACCACAAGCAGACGCCTAGAGAGGCATCACAATACTCACATGGTAGGGGAAACACTAGAATCCCTGTCATCCATCTATCTTTGCCCACCATCACAAGGGCACCACCTACCAACAACCCTCGTCTTCATCAGACGTCCTCCCAAAGAAAAGGGGCAATCACATCATCAACATCAGCAGGCAGCCTAGAGAGGCCAGGCATAATAATACTCACCGTGCAGCAGGCATCCTGGAGAGGCCAGGCATAGTTATACTCATCGTTTAGCAGGCAGCCTGGAGAGGCCAGCCATAATAATACTCCCTCTTAAACAAGCTAGAAATAAAGGGACACATTATCACAAGAGAAACAATAGAGCTTCTACTCAAAGATTGAAGATCAGGTGTACAGTTTGTCAACCTTGTTACCCAGTAGAGTACGCAACCAATGCTCAACTACTCTAAAGGGTGAGGGTACGAGCAAATACACCTATCCAAGAGAAACAACATAGAAGCACCAAAGAGATAAAGAGAAGACCTAGACAAAATGTCTACGTCTTTACTTGCCTTTGGAAAAGCAACACATTACTATTCCAAAAGACAAGTAAAGAGGGGTAGCTGTAGACACCCAATTTTGTCCGGGGGAATACAAACAAATAAATGGACGTCTATTATCAAGGAAAGGAACTCCCAAAGCAGGAAAATAACAAGACAGGACATCAGAGAGTCGAAAGCCCAAAATAGCTAGTTTTAGTGGCCCAAAATGGGCTAGAACGGGCCGTTCCCGAATCTGGAATGGGTCGTTCCTAAATTGGAACGGGCCATTCCGAGCCATCTAAAAGGCGTAAAGACTCTTAGTTGGAACGGGACGTTCCAGACCAGAACGAGACGTTCCAAATAAATCAAAAGGCCTAAAAACTTGGTCTGGAACAGGCCGTTCCTAAACCAGAACGAGCCGTTCCAAACTGTTAAAAAGGCCTAAAAACCTAGTTTGGAACGGGTCGTTCTAAGCAAGGGAACATAGTGTTAATCTCATCTCTGGAATAGGTCGTTCTCAGTTTAGAACGGGCCATTCCCAAGTGTGTGATTAACACACAATGTTCAGATCCAGAACGGGCCGTTCTGGTTTTGGAACGGGCCGTTCTGGAAACCCTTCTGATGCCTATAAATAGACAGCTTGGGCACAGTTCTCAAGGATCCCAAATTTCGTCCAAAACTCCTTAGAGCTCGAAATTTCTCTCTCTCTCTCTCTCCTATTGTATTTCTTGAGTTTTGTGAGGCTTATTATAGTGTGAAAGGTTGCCGCAAAGCACCTAAAATCTCCATATTTGAAGATTCAATAGAGCTCGTTCAAGAGGTATTTCAGTCAATCTTCTTCTCTCCCTTTTATTTATTATCTTTGATAAACATTGTTATAATAAAAACAATCATGTAGACATTTTAGGGTCAATTGTATAATTTAAATTTCAAGCATGTAAATAGTTATTAATAAAAGGGGATTTAATATTTATATTATTATTGTTTATAATGTTAACTTCATCATAGGGTACCGATTAAGGGCGTTGTAGGGGTATTTAATACCTTCCTTACATGTAACTGACCCCCGAACCCAATTCTGGTTATCAACGCCATTATTGAACTTTTAAAAACCTTTTATTTTTCTAATGTTTTGAGTAAAACATTGGTGGCGACTCCATGAACCTATTTTCAAAACCATTAATTAGGGATTAGTCTGGTGTACGGGCATTCCCTAATTGATGATATCTTTAAAAGGATATCTAAACCATAGGTCGCGAGATCAAAAATTTTCGGGTTGCAACACCAGTAGACAGTCAAAACCCTAAAATCACCAAGGTACGCGTGCTATATATACGAGACATCTACACTATCAGAGACTAACTTTAACATCGGAGTCTCTTTTGCAGGTACCACCCCATCTTGGAGCAGACAACCTGCAAACCAGTAGAGGCTCACCAATCTCATCAAAGAGATCGTCACCGATCCAATCTCAGGTGAGAACACTAATTAAGCTATACATTGTGATCATCACAATTAACAATTCAAATCTATCTACCATTCCATACTCTGACTAAAGACTAAATCAATTCCAGTTTGTTTATTAGATCAAACATGACTAAATCAATTCCAGTTTGTTTATTAGATCAAACATTATGTGCGGTTGAAAGGCTAGAATAAAATAATCAAAGCATCCAGAGAAGATAACAGTTTTGTCGTTGTTCAATTAGAAATTAATAATATTTTATGTAGAAAATTATAAATAATATTTTAATGATGTCAAGAAAAATAAGAAATAATATTTTAATCATTTCAATTTTAGATTAAGAGTTTGTTGCCTATGATTTGTGTAAAATAAAAATATTTATGTATAAAAAACTCTTTTTAGCATATATACATATAAAAGAAACACATAAATCTCACTAAATAGAATGTGACTTACATTTTGAAACACTTATTAATCTAAAGAATTACCATAGTACAATATAATATATTATATAATTAGTAGTTTAATTATTAGTATGCCTAAAATTTTATATTGAAACTGTTTTTTTATTACAATTTTTATAAATAAAAAATATAGTTTATGTTACACTAACTTAAATATAATTTTTAATTTATATATATATATATATATATATATATATATATATTTGTTTTATGGATTTAGCTTTTTATATATCTTTTACATTGAAATATATATTTTTATTTCTTATTTAAAAAGCATCATACTTTTTCTTTAATGGATGAAAATACTAATGTACTAAATTTGTGAAACAAAATTTTATGGATACTAAAACAGACAATTTTTAAGGATCAAAATAATTGTTTAATGTTTTTTAATTTATATATTAACATTTTGTTTGGATGTGAAGAAAACAAAGAGAAAGATAATAAGAAAAATAAAGGAAAAAAGAAGAAAAATGACATGAAAATTATGTATTATTTAGATACACTAATATAATAAAGAAAAAAATATTAAAAACTTTTCTTCCATTATTTAACCGTATATAAGAGTGAAAAGAAAGAGAATAAATACTTATCATAAATGTTTTGGTATTTGAGGAGGTTGCCTATTTCCAAAAAAACATGAATATATTTAATTGCTTATCAGAAAATGATGAGAAAAGTCAGAAGTGTATTATCAAGGACATCTTAGATATTATAACTCTTATTCATCGCTCATAAGGTCTTGCATGTGTGAGGGTGATGAAAACCTACCAAATTCAAATTTTGGTTTCTTTTGTCTCTCACTTTTACATATCCAAACTTGCATTATTAATTTCTAATTAAACAATGACTAAACTGTTATATTGTCTGGATGCTTTGATTATTTTATTCTAGCCTTTCAACCGCACATAATGTTTGATCCAATGAACAAACTGGAATTGATTTAGTCTCTAGTCAGAGTATGGGATGGTGGATAGATTTCAATTGTGGATTGTGATGATCACAAGGTATAGCTTATATTAATTAGTAAAATAAGAACTTGTCGTCAAATATTTTGAGTTCGATTTTGTGTGTATATAAAGAGAGATAGTGAGATTGATGTATTTAACTCAAAGCAAAATAGATATAAACAACAAAATTTGTACTTATAAACTTTTAATTGTGTGAAAATCATTTCAATTTTCTTTTTACAAAACATCATATTTTGTTTAGAATAAAATTGTACATGCGCTCCAGACTAAATTGTACTTTATATAATTTTACGGAAAAATTAAACTTAAACGTCCATCAACCCTTAAATCTTTAAGTTGCATATACATGTTAGCCATGAAGAACTACAAGTGCCATGTGTAAAATGTAAAATGGAAAGTAAAAAGGCATTGAAAGGGTACAAAGATATTTAATTTCGACCTAATACTACTCCAGTAACAACATTTTACATCGGTTCTTTTAACTATTTTACATCAATTTTGAAACCGATGTAATTATAATGATGTAGAATGGGTAAGATATTATACATCAGTTCTTGAACCGGTGTAGAAAGTGAGAAAAACTACAGCGGGTCTTTTATCACCCGATGTAAAATGTTGAGAAATATTACATAAACTGATAAACGGTAGTGTGGTTGAAGTAATTTTTTTTTATTAAAATTACTTTTAGCAGGCTTTAATCTATGTGATAACAGTGTGATAGCAGGCTTTTTATGCTTTTTTATTATATAAAACCATGTTTCCATCATTATTAATTAATTCATCTAATATATCATTAGTTTCTTTATTTACATCGTGGAAACTATACAATTTATGCAACAATTATTACTGAATATTAAGAATTTAAATCCAAAATTAACCATAAAAAGACAAGTACATGGCATTATGATTTTGATTAAGTTACGAGCTTATGAACATTCAAGTTTTGGCACACGTCAAATAAGTCCTCAAATGGGAAAAATTACAAACTAACTAGAATAGAAAAAGAATGGAACCAAACATTAGAACCCCTGGAAAGTCACAAAGCATGCCACCAAGAAACCCACAAAGCATGCCTCTAAGATTTCTACTAGAAGACGATTGTTCTTCCCTTTGAAACCAATTAAAGATCCTTTACAGCTTCTTCCCATTGACCAAGCATTTCTCATGCCATGCCACGTGACTTGTATCCTTTAGTAGAATCAGGATTAATCTGGGTAAAAAATATAAAATAAAAAAGTAGAAGTGGAGGGCTATACAATACAATTTTATAAGAAGAGGATTCAACATATATACGAGACTGACAACCTAAAGAATTATGTAAGGAAAATATTTAGTTTAACAAATACAATTAAAAATTATATTTTGCCTTCTATTTTATCATATGAGACGATGTGAAAATTTCAACTATGCTCACCACGCAATTAGTATTTCACGTCAAGGGTATAAAACTGTAGCATTTTATCATATTAACCAAGAATACCTAAATGAAAAATAAGGATCACATACATTCGCAAAGAGTTACAAAATACAATGAAACTTGTAATAAATGGTCAAATATAATTGCTTTCTAATTCCCACTATATAATTGCAATGTGAAAATATCTTACAAAGCATATGTTGAATAAGGAGACTTACATCATTATCATAATAGTTTGCTAGTGTTGTGAACAATTTCTCTGTCTCACACCTAATGATAGACAAAAAAATTAGTAGTTGCCTCGTGAAGCACTTTGTGAATAATAGATGGAGAAGTTGAAACCACTACCAATACTAATATGTTGACACTAAATAAAGGAACAAAATGCAGTTTTCTTTTATGCTAAACAAAGGAAGCAAGCCAAAAAAAAGCAACCAATGCAGTTTTTAGACAAAAGATTAGTAAATATTTAAATTAAAAAAAATAGAACACGATATTAAGAGATCAAGTCATTGCTACCTGTAAAGCTGTTCCATGAGCACAAGTAATGCTATTTGATGATTTAAGACCAGTGAAGATAAATTGATTGATAATTTACCCCATTCCCGCATTTTTCTTCCATGACCATATGGTCCACCAATACAAAAGGATAACCGTGAAGCATCCTGTGAGAAAGCAGAAATCATGAAATAAATTTTATTGAAAGGTATTTTCATAATAAAAGAACAAAAGAGCTATAACATGAATGGAAATCACAAGGGAATGGACATATAAAACAACTTTGGCTTGAAAATAGAAATTCAACAATCATTTATTATAAGCTGCAAAGGAAAGTCTCAGGTGACAAAGATTCACTCCCAAGAAAAATAGAAACTAAAATTGGTGATGCTATATTTTGAGATGCATCTAATACAAAATATGATTAAATACAAACTTGCATTACAGGAAAGGAAATCACACTTCAGGAATTCAAAACTGAGAAACTATTTAGGCTTGCGTTAGAGATAGATGGTTTTATACAAATAACAATGCATAGGTCAATTATAGAGCTGGAATGGTGACCTGCAAGTTTATAAAAACTAAAAGTAGATTCAATCATTCCGGTGGCTATTAAAAATGTTTAGTGATAGCTAAGTCAATTCACTATAAATAAAGATCATCAAAGATAGAAAATACACAAAAATGATTGATATAAGCACTGCCAAAAGTGATAAATATGAATGATACTATTTTACTATCACATGATTGACAGGATATGAATTGTGGTATTCAATCTCTATCGACAGGATATCAAGGGTCTGTTACATGATTGACAGCTTATGAATTATGATGCTTTCTTTCATTATAATGCCATAAAGCATACTCAGTACTTATATTATGTCAATGCTTGAAAGAATATCCATGTATAGAAGAGATCTTTACAAAATTTCTTACAGTATTTCCTGCATCATCCACCAACTTCGCCATTTGCTCAGATCCTATGTCTTGCCCACGTTCATCCAACATCACAACCTATAAGTGCAGGTACAAATCAGGCAAAACCTAATTAGGACTTAGGAGGGAAGAAACGGCCAATTCTTGATGATTTAACAAAGATCTATAAATATGTAATTACCACACTCTTACAAGTAAAGTAGGTTTTGAATTTAAAGAAAGGAATTAAAGTAAAAAATATTAAAGTGTTTGCAAAAATTGGAACCATGTCAATCATGGTAATTAAAACATGACATAAATCTTGATGTATAGAGTGAGTGTGAGGGTTGAGTTCAAAGTGGGTGTAGTAGTCAATGTGGTAGAAAGTGTACCTTACTGACAAGAAAAGAAACCTGATTTTAGTTCCAATATAATGGATAAAGGCATAAAGACTATTAAAAGTCAAAACATAACAGTATACTACAGAATTGACACTACCATCTACTTAGGTTTAATTTGACTCCATTGTTCCATTAACACAAGACTCACAACTGCAGGAGTATATAAGTATAATAAGTCGCACTACACAGTTATGGTGAGGAATAAGGATGCAACAAGGCTTCAGATATGGATCTGTTGCTTTCACAAAAGTGGGGAAAGGAGAAAAATTCAAAACAATTCCGAAAGTGTGGAACTACAAAATTAAACCGCAGAACAAATGGAAGCATCGTATAACTTAATTTAGATATGAATTTGGTCCTCAAAGTTATGCCTATTTTTGGTTTTAATGCTGTGAAAAGTTTATTTGTTTAGTCCTTAAAAATTACAAAACCATGTTCTTTTAGTCCCTACAAAAACAATATGGTTTAGGTCAACTCTTAACTCTAACTTTATTTACGGCTCTTAACTTCAAATGGCAATCTCACAAGAACAAGATCAAAATAGCTTCCGCCAACAGTTTAAAATTGTTTTCAGCAGTGGTAATCAACAATGCAACTAAATGGTAATTCTAATTATAATGACACAGCAACCACAAGAGACAAAGGGTTGCGAATGCAAGGTAGTATAGGCATGCAACTGTATGATACGGAACCAGATTCCCTACAGTCAAGGGAATCCCTGATGGAATCATGCTTTGGAGTGCAAGAGGTGACATACTCAAAGATCCAAGAGGAGTTGGCTAGACATGAAGGTTTGGGTCAGTCAGGACCCAATGGGCCCGATGGGCCTGGGAAGGCCCAAGTGGAACTTTTCATGGGTCATATTTTGTTATAGCTATTCTTTGTATACATCATGTTAATATAGGTATCATATATTTGGGTCTTGTATTTTGGACCACATAGAGTAGCATTTTAGGTTTTAGGCTTGTTGGGCCTAGTTTTGGGCTTCATGGGCCTTTGGGCTTTTGGTACCCAATATTGGGCTCATTTTCATTCTTGTAATTTTTCCTTTCCATTGTATTTGTTGGACCATTGTATTTAGGTCATTAGATTAGGAAAATACAAGGAATACTAAAGTAGGCTAATTAGGTTAAATTAGGTTTAATTTGGAAGCCATTTAAGTTACATTTGAGTCACATGTTTTGCACCTTTGGTGGCTGAACATGTGACCTCAAATTAACCCTAAATGACACTCCAAATTACACTTAGATGCACCTTAGGTACCTGAATTTTCGGAGTAGCACATGGGAGCCAAAATTTGAATTCAAATTTCAAATTTGAATTCAAATTTTGGGCGCCACATGTCATCTTTTGATTTAGGCGCCCAAAGAGTGCAAAACCGTGCTTACTTAAGTGTTCTTTCACATTTTTGTATTCACTTTGAATCATTAATGAAATTTGTGAGCCATAGTGCCGAGTTTCTCTCTCAAAGTCTCCTTGAGTTCATCTTCAAAAACCTTAGGAATTCACCTAGAATCCTTCTCTTTGAAGTGTGCTCTCCATTGATGCTTGAGCTTGGATGCTTCCCTCCTAGTTCTAGGTTGAGTTCATCCATGAGTTCATAGCTTGCAAGTGTTCTTGAGTTGAAGAATTCATCCTCCATTGAAGAAGATCCGGCCTAAGCAAATCCGTGGAGAAGAACATCTTTCACTTCTCCTAGTTTTGCTATCAATCCCACATTCACACTAAGATATTTTACCACCATTGGATCCACCACTATCATATTCACAACCCTTAATTTTGCTTTCTCCTAAACAATAGAGAAAAAAATGCAGAGAGAAAAATAAAGAGATGAGTGATTGCAGGGAATATTCACCCATATGATGCGAACGCATATAGCTGCAGAATAATTAAAGGATCAGGGATGGGGTACCTAGTAGTTTAAAACCATTTATATAAAAGTATATTTCATTCAACAAATAATGTCTGATAATTAATTAGATGCAAAAAAACAAGTCTCAATTTTCTTCAAACATAACTTCCTTAAAACATCCTAGTGCCAGAACATAAAATTGGTTGAGTTGAAACATCAGCTCTTTTAGCGATACTGCAACAACAACAATAGTAGCATAAAAATGTAATCAGAACTCATGGCATGACAATAGATGAATAACAGAAAATTAACCTACCACCAAAGCATAAATTCACATTAAACTAATGTAAGATTAGTACTGGGAACGTCACCCTAAATGTATACTGTACTATCTGTACTGCGAAGCCGAGCTCCCAGCTCGACATCACAACGCAGGACGACCTCGGATACGCGCTGTGTGACGTCAGCTCGTCACTTAATCAGATCATAACCGATCTCAGGCCCAAGGCCCAACGAAACCCTAATTCACACCAAGGTACGTGCATTACTTATACGAGACTCATACTCATACAAACTCTAACTTTAGCATCGGAGTCTCTTTTACAGGTACCACCCCCATCTTGGAACATCAAGCCTACCAGCGAAGGAGGCTCACGGACCTTACCCAGCGGATCAACTCTACCTCAGATCCCCGGTAAGAACATTTGGCGCCCACCGTGGGGCCGATCGAGATAGCTCTTATCGGCCATTCGTATGGTTTTCACCAGAAGCCATAATAGACGCGCAACAGACGACCTAGATCACGCAACCAGCATGGACAACAATTCACCGATGAACCACTTTAGACGTTCATGGAACGATTCGTCGCCATCTCATAACATCAGCTGCCTTGGCCAGTCTCCGACAAGGTGACGATGAACCACTTCAGACGTTCATGGAACGATTCGCCGCCATCTCGGTAAAGATCTGGAATCTGAACCCTGAGGTTGCTCTACACGCCATACTCATGGCACTCAATCTCGAACCGTTCGTTGACAGTCTATGTCGTGAAGCTCCTCGCAATATGGACGAGCTTCGTGCCCGTGCTGCTGGATACATCCAGATAGAGGAACATTCTTCCTTTCGTGACCAAGTTCGCCGGAAATCACAAGCGAAACCTGACAGTGGCCACAAAGACAAGATGAAGGTCACCAACGACAGCCAGTTCAAGAAAACTGCTCGGATAAACAAGGGGGGAGATACGACTTCTACACTCCTCTGAATATGCCCTGAGTTCACATCCTGGAGGAGGCCACTAACAGCAACCTGCTCACCCTGCCACCACCAGGTCACACCCCCAACAGTGCGGACAAGTCCAAACAGTGTCGGTATCACAGAAACCACGGTCACACCACTGAAGAGTGCCGCACACTCCGAGACCGTATCGAAGAACTCATACAGGTAGGCCACCTCGACCAGTATGTCCAATGACAACAGGGTCACCGAGGAGGCTATGGTGGACGAGGACGAGGCAGAGGTTGTGGTTCGGGAGCTCGCACGGACCAACCCTCTGGCTCTTAGCAAAATGCCAGTGGAGTAGTGCAAGTCGAGGTAAGCCAGGAAACAGGGTCAGCTCCCCTGTGGGGAGTAATCAACACAATTGCAGGTGGCTTCGCAGGGGGAGGCGCCAGCAGCTCGGCCCAGAAGAGACCCCTGCGCAACATCAACAACGTCCACTCCACTACCTCGGCTTCGCACCAAAGCTCGCCGCCCATCCCCTTCACCGACGATGACTACACTGGCGTCAGCCCCAACCAGGATGACCCTATGGCCATCGCCGTGGAGGTAGCTAATTGGGAGGTCCACAAAACACTGATCGGCCAAGGGAGCTCGGCTGTCGTCCTATATTGGCCGACGTTCCTCAGGTTAGACATCCCTTACTCTTTCATCCAATCTCACACAGAGCCCCTAGTTGGTTTTGCAGGAGAGAGAGTACACACTCGGGGATACGTGGATCTGCTGACTACTTTCGGGACTTCTCCAGACACAAGGCAGATCATGGTCCGATATCTCCTCGTGGAACCCAACACCTCCTATAACATAATCATAGGGAGGCCGACCTTGAATCAACTTGGAGCAGTGGTGTCTACCCCACACCTCACCATGAAATTCCCGGGGAATGGTGGGAAGATTATTTCCGTCAAGGCAAACCAAAAAATAGCCCGACAATGCTACACCGAGAGCCTGAAAATCTCCCCATCCAGCGAGCAATGCAAGAGCGACCCCCTACGGTGGCTCACATCACCCACGTGGATATCGCTGATCTCGATCCGAGGTCCGACTCCCATGACAAATGGCCAAGTCCCATTGATGAGCTCGACGACCTCCAGATCGGGAAACTCCTCGGGCAGTGCACAAAAATTAGCAGGTAGTTGAGCCCGGAGTTGCGATAACAGCTCGAAGCTGAGATCCTCAAGAACGCCGAACTCTTCGCCTGGTCCAGTGTCGACATGCCAGGTATAAACGCTGACTTCATCTGTCACAGGTTAGCGATACACAAGGAGGCAAGGCTAGTGGCCCAGAGAAAGAGGAGGGTCGGTGGTGAAAGACGGGAGGCCATCATCACCGAAACACAAAAATTGCTGAACGCTGGCTTCATCCGTGAGGTCAGGTACACCACATGGCTGGCAAACGTGGTGTTGGTAAAAAAGAACTCGGGGAAATGGCGAATGTGCATCGACTATACCGACTTGAACAAGGCATGCCCCAAGGACTCATACCCCTTGCCGAGCATCGACAGGCTGGTCGATGTAGCATCCGGGCACGCCCTCCTCAGTTTCCTCGATGCTTACTCCGGGTACAACCAAATCATGATGTACCCACCAGACGAGGTGCACACGTCATTCATCACTGATCACGCCAATTACTACTATCGAGTGATGCCCTTCGGTCTCAAGAACGTGGGGGCCACTTACCAGCGACTGATGGAAAAGGTTTTCCACCAGCAAATTGGCTGGAATATGGAGGTCTACATTGACGACATGATGGTCAAAATCACCTCAACCGCAGACCATGCTGCCGACCTCGCCGAGGTGTTCAGCCAAATCAGGAGACATAACATGCGTCTCAACCCGGAGAAGTGCCTCTTCGGCGTCCAGGGAGGTAAGTTCCTCGATTTTATGATCACTAGCAGAGGAATCAAAGCCAACCCTGAGAAGTGCAAAGCCATCATCTAGATGCAGAGTCCTCAAACGGTGAAAGAAGTCCAACGCCTAGCCGGAAGGTTAGTCTCACTGTCCCGTTTCATCCCCAGACTCGCGGAGAAGGCAGGGCCAATCTTCACTCTGCTACGGAAGCCAAAAGACTTCCAGTGAACGGATCAGTGCGAGGAAGCTTTCTGAAGTTTCAAAACCTTTCTCACGACCCCGCCAATCCTGCAAAGGCCGGATCATAAAACCGACCTCATTCTTTACTTGGCCGTGGCAGAAAATGCAATCAGTGCAGTGATCGTACAACAACATCAGAAAGGGCAGACGCCGATCTACTTCATCAGCCGAGTCCTCCAAAATACGGAGAAATGGTACCAAATGATCGAAAAATTGGCACTGGCACTCGTCACCGCAGCCCGGCGACTCTGACCTTACTTCCAGAGCCACCAGGTGATAGTCAAAACCGACTACCTCATAAAGCAAATCCTGAGAAAGCCAGAGCTCGCTGGACGAATGATTGCATGGTTGGTCGAGTTGTCTGAATTTGGCATCCAGTACAAAAGTCGCGGCACCCTGAAAGCTCAATGCCTGGCCGACTTCGTAGCCGAGCTCACGCCCACTTCGGCCGAGGAACCACAGGTATGGACTTTACACGTTGACGGGTCCTCCAACTCTAAGGGTGGTGGTGCAGGTATCATCTTGGAAGGACCAAATCAAGTCACTTTGGAGCAATCCCTCAAGTTCAGCTTCAAAGCGACCAACAACCAAGCGAAGTATGAGGCACTTCTCGCAGGACTGAGGCTGGCTCGCGACCTCGGGGCCCGAAGAGTGAGTTGCAACAGCGACTCGAAGCTCATGGAGGAACAGCTCAGTGAGACGTACCAGGCAAAGGATATTCTCTTACAGCGGTACTTCCACATCGCATCCCACCAGATCTCGTCCTTCGACGAGTTCACCATACAACATGTTCCGCAAGAGCAAAATGTCCGAGCCGACCTCCTATCAAAGCTCGCCAGCACCAAACGACCCGGGCAGCATCGGACCATCATCCAGGAGACCATGCACTCACCCAGCTTAGACGACAAAGTAGTCAATACCAACAACAGCAAAGACCACGGATGGATGACAGGCATCTGGAGCTACTTGAAAGAAGGAGTTTTGCCCAAAGACAAGGACGAAGCTCAGAAAATAAGGGTGAGGTCGGCCAAGTTCGTAATCGTCGACGACGAACTATTCAAACGTGGCATCTCCACCCCACTGCTCAAGTGCTTAACTGCGCCTCAAGCAGCCTATGTCATCGAGGAGATTCACTGGGGCATATGTGGCATGCATTCTGGAGCACGCTCAATGGCGACCAGAGTACTCCGAGCAAGATACTACTAGCCCACTCTAAAATCAGATTGCTAGGACTATGTACAAAAATGCAAAGAATGCTAGTAGTTTGGCAACACACACCGGCAACCGCCCGAAGCTCTTCACCATATGATGTCAGCATGGCCTTTCTCCCAGTGGGGAATGGACATCCTCGGGCCATTCCCCCCGCGAAAGGTCAGCTCAAGTTCCTTCTAGTGGCGATCGACTACTTCACCAAGTGGGTCGAGGCATGCCCACTCGCCAAAATCACCACCGAAAATGTGCAAAGGTTCACATGGAGGAATATTGTTTGCAGATTTGGAATCCCTAAACCCTCGTTACTGACAACGACCAGTAATTCATCGCACAGGGCTTCGAGGACTTCCTCCGTGAGCTCGGTATCAAGCATCTTCCGACCTCAGTGCAACATCCGCAAACTAATGGCCAAGCCGAAGCAGCCAACAAGTTTATCCTCCGGGAACTTAAGAAGCGGCTAGGGAACGCCAAAAGACAGTGGGCCGACGAGCTTCCCAGCATCCTCTAGGAGTATCATTGCACCCCCCAGTCAACAACGCAAGAAATGCCTTACAGGCTAACTTACGAAGCTGACGCAATGATCCTAGTGGAAGTCGGAGAGACATCGCACCGACGCCAAGCCTTCAACAGCGAGCAAAAAGCTCAAGAGTTAGCATCCGACCTCGACCTAGTTGACGAGCTTAGAGAAGAAGCTCAAATCCACGAAGAAGCCTGTAAGCTCCGAGCTTCCAGAAGATACAATACGCGAGTGCGACCTCGCTCTTTCCGAGTTGGCGACCTGGTGTGGCGTTTGCTAGGTGAAGCTCGGAAAGACACATCAGATGGAAAGCTCGCACCCACCTGGGGTAGCTCATTCCAAGTTGTAGAAGACTTGGAAAACGGAGCATACCAACTAGAGGAACTCAGCAGAAAGCCCATACCGCGAACTTGGAATGCCACGCATCTCAAGTTTTACTTCAGTTAAATTTTGTACAAATGAGTTGTGCACTCTTTTCCCGCCTCAGTTTTTTATCCCATAAAACAGAAAAATGGGTTTTGGCTGAGAGGGTTTTTAACGAGGCACATATATACAATCAATAAAATAACTTATTTTACTCCTTTCATATTCTTTTAGTTTTACATCATGCTTTACGCTACTCCAAGGTCGAGTTCGAACCTTAGCCCAGGTTATTTTACCTTACGCATAGGTCGAGTTTGAACCTCAATCCAACTTATCTCGCTCCTAGTCAAGGTCGAATACGAACCCCAAAATTATGCATATTATGCTAAACTCAAGGTCGAGTTCGAACCTTCATACAATTCACTCCCCTTCACTCCGAGGTCGAGTTCGAACCTCGGTATGATCAACTCAAGGTCGAGTTCGAACCTTCATCAACCCAAGGTTGAGTTCGAACCTTCATATGATCAACTCAAGGTCGAGTTCGAACCTTCATATGATCCCCTCAAGGTCGAGTCCGAACCTTCAGTCAAGTCATTCTACTCTAGTCCGAGGTCGAGTTCGAACCCCGGCGAGGTCGAGTTTGAACCATTAGTAAGATTCACCTTAAAATAAATCGAGGTCGAGTCCGAACCCTAGAAGGACTTTTTCCACTCTAAGTCAAGGTCGAGTTTGAACCTTGACACGATTCCCTCAGGGTTGAGACAGGTTATCCTAAAGCCGAGGTCGAGCTCGAATCCCGGTAGGACCACTCTAACCTGAAGTCAGACTTGAACTCGAGTCCTACCGCAAGGTACCTCGTTTCCACCCAATGTAAAACTCAAACCTCGGTTCAAATCACTTTATTCTAAGCCAAGTCTAAGCACCGCAAAATGCAAAATGAAAAACAAAGTCTAAACGTACTTTCAAATCGTGCAAACAGGCAAAAACTAAGCCTAAAATGAAAGCACAAAAATCGAGATCCAAACAAACTCATCGAAAACACAAGTTGAACAGCTTAAAGGAAATGATATATATAAAACAAGTACGAATGTTCAACACATGAATCCCAATAACAGAAAAATAAACCAAGATTATTACAAAGGTGACCTAGGCGGAGGCGTTGTCACTGGAGCTATCCTCGAGGTCGTCCTCCTTCACTAGCTTCCCAAAGCAGACCTCCTTCTCCACGTGCATGGCAGAGAAGTCAAACCCCGGTGCGAGAAACCTAGCCTAGCGAGCTGCCTTGAGGAACCCCTCTTGTGCTCAAAGATGACGGCCCGCTCAGTCTCCTCGAGCTTCCTCTCCAGCCCCATCTTTGCCTCCTCCAACCTTGCCAGGTCCACCTTCAGAGCAGCATTCTCCTCTGCCTGTCCGCCGAGAAGCACCTCGTCACAAAGACGCTTCTCGGCCGCCGCCACCA